CTCTCTCTCGGCCTCTCCCCTGCTTGCTCTCTGTCTTTCAAAACTAAATAAACATAAAAAAAAAAAAAAAAAAAAAAGATTTGTGGAAGGGAATGATGGACCAAACGGTGGAGTCTGAGTTTTCATCTGTCTCATCCCCAGTGGTCTTTCCACCACTGCTCTCTTCTGACCAGTCAGGGACACTCCTTTGCTGGTGTCTAGGATCACAGCCTTTTTTTTTTTTATTAATGTTTATTGTTCCTTGAGAGAGAGACAGAGCATGAGCAGGGGAGGGGCAGACAGAGAGGGAGACACAGAATCCGAAGCAGGCTCGAGGCTCTGAGCTGTCAGCACAGAACCCGATGCGGGGCTCGAACCCAGGAACCGTGAGATCGTGACCTGTGCCAAAGTCAGACGCTTAACCGACTGAGCCACCCAGGCGCCCCTAGGATCCCACTCTTAATGCCTATGTCTCTCTCTACCCTACACCTCCCTCGGAACCTGGCTGCCTGCATTCTCCCCTCCAGATAGCACAGAAGAAGAAAGTGAGTACTGTGACCATTTTGACTTTGTGTCCTTGAGATCATACTCGTAACTTTCTGTGGGCAAGGGTGGGTGCAGACCCTGGTGTTTAGATATTGGCCTGGGGTCAGGAGCATAATCAGTACAGGCAGATTCCACCGAAGGATCTAAGCTGCAGTGTCCTGGCAGATGTTTAGCAACTGCCTCTTGGGGAGAAGGACAGGTGGGAAAGGGTACATGTCTACTGCTCCTCCGAGGCAAAGACTTGCCCTAGAAGAAAGGTCTGGGACACAGTTGGGCTACACAAATGTTTCTTAAAGGAAAAGAATGTTCCCTACAACTGCTAATGCGTGGTACTTTTGCTCATTGGAAGGAGTCAAAGAGAAATAATATTGGAACATCTATCTCTGTCTCATAATGGCACTGTGAGCCAGTTGGAGCCTAGGTTAGAAGACGTGGTTCCCCAAACGAGCTGATAATCAGAAACTTGAAAGAACACAAATTTCTGTATTCCACCTGAAATTTCGGCATGAGAATACCAAAGAAAGGGATCTTGAAATCTGTTCTTTCAAAAGGTTTGTCAGGTGATGTGATTCAGATGGTTTGGGAACCAATGAGCTAGAGTAGCAGTTGGCAAACTACCACCTGGCCCGCTGCCTTTGTTTTTTTTTTTTTTTAATAAAGTTTTATTGACACCTAGTCACACGCATTCGTTTATGTATCCTCTATGGCTGGTTTCTGGTTGGCAAAGCAACCTGAGTAGTCATACTCAGATTGTATGGCCTGCAAAGCCTAAAATAGATACTATCTGGCCCTTTACAGAAGATGTTTGTTGACCTCTGAGACTTTGTTTAAAATTAAGAGCCCATCTCAGATCTACCTAAGGAATCAGGACATCTGGGGTGGAGCTTAAGGCTCGTTGTTTGTAATAAGCTTCCCAGGTGTTGATTCTTAATACACATATGGACCCACCAACTTCAACTCAACAAGCAGATTGTTTAGGTGGGGCCCATCATGATTTATGGGGGTGAAGTGGACAAATAAAGTAATGCTCCCCCCTTCATCTCCAGTATCAGCCTCAAGTCCTGCTTCTACTCGCCCCTTGAGAATGAGAGGCGGGGATTCACTGGTACCCACCTGCATTGGGTCACTGTCTGGCTCTCCTAGAGACCCCTAGGAACTGTATGAGTCTCCCTTCTTTCACTTATAGAGCAAGGTAATGATATCCTTATTATTTTAATATAGCTTCCCTATGACCGTGAGATAGCTAGGTATTTCATAAAATACAATTAAAACAAAAAGGGGTACACACACACACACACACACAAAACCCTGATGAAATCTGAGTATGTTCTACAGTCCAGTTACTGGTATTGTGCCAATGTTAACTTACTGGTTTTGATAAAGTACTACGGTCATGTAAGATGCCACCATTGGGAGAAGTTGGATGGTGGTTACACGGGACCCCTCTGTACTATTTTTGCAATACTTTGTGAGTCTATAAATAGTACACAATAAAAAGTTAAATGCAACTTTAAGATTACTTAACGAAGGAATAATGGAGTGTACTTGGGGAGGTATTAATGTTATCCTACTCTCTTGCTCTCTCTTTTCCATATTGACGTCCTAACTTCTGGTTCTGCGGTGCCCTACAGTGAAAGGTGAGTTAGTTTTCCCTTTTCTAGGGGTAACTGGGATGTATTTGGGTGCTATGAAGTATAGAAAACAAGAATGAGAAGGGAATCTTTGTTCTCTTTGATTCAGGGACCAGGTTGAGAGACACCCTCTGCTAAGGGAGGTCACAATCCACTGCCCCACAATCCACTGCCCCACCCCTACGGGACGAACTGTAGGGGTCCACATGACCCCTGAGGCTGCAGGGAAAACTGAGAGAGGGTGTCTGGGACTCAGGTGGGTTGAGGCTGCAGGTGTGACTGGGTATGGAAGCACACATGCATATAAGGTCCCCAGATTTTATCAGACTCTCAAAAGCCAACGACCACTGCCATAGAATACAAGGATGTATTGAGTTTTGTGTATGTGTGCAAAGAGCTACTGGGTAAAGAGATCTTGAGAGTGTAGCCTACTCTTTCCTCCACCTGTCTCTCACCTGACCCTCAGGAGATAGATGAGATAAAAAATGGGTCAAGGGGATCCTTTGCTGTTGATCCTCTTAATTTCTGGGGGATGAATCCCCAAGGAAAATGGTACCCAGGGATTCTGGCCACCTGGATAAATGCGTCTCCAAAGGGGATAAGTGTAAGTCAGAGCAACCCACCCTGGTCCCCAGCGCATCCCATGAAATCTGGGGGTACCCTCCTTTCCCTCCTATGGGGGGGCCTCTTTTGAGAACCATCAGGGTGGGGTGAGCTAAGAAGGAACCACTAACACCTTCTTCGTCTTCTCTGTTTCTGTCGCTGCCCAATGACCCCTTCCGGATTCTCTCCTTGCTGCTCACATCTCAACAGTATTGAAACATAAGATTCTTATTTCACATTGCTCCCCCATCCTCCACTTTGTTCCCTTTCTTATCTCTGCTAAAGGGTCCATTCCTAGCCAGGGATCATCTCTTGGATAATTTTTTTTTTTTTTTTAACCCAGGGACTTGAAAAACTAGCTGTACTACTTTGACTTTCAAAAAGGTGGGGTATCCTCTGGGAACCAAATCAGGGCTCCCCACAACTTGTTCACAAAGTAGGCATTATTCACCCAAAGTATGCAAGGTGCCAACAACATGGGGACACTAAACACATGGAGAGGGATGGTGGCTGCCTGCCCAGCCTAACCCTGACCCAGTGCAAGTCCCTTAAGCCATTTGATTTCCTCTCTGACCCAGACAGTGAGGCTTTCAAAGGTCTCCCCTGCTCACTGCTAAGTCCTAACTGATCACCACAAGCCACCTGGGCTCTGTCCTCATGCGTTCCCAGTCTCCCCATCTTCTTATCTGGTGATTTGTTTCCTCCTTATGGCCTCATCGCTCATGACCCCATGGACTCAACACTCTGGACCTTGTCTGCCACCATGGTCTTGCCTCCTGGGACCACCCTTTTACTTGGATGGGTGACCTCAGAGATCCTAGGTAAGAATCTCACTCCATGCATGCCCTGGGATTTTGGTGAGAATATCTTGTCTGGTGAGAATATTCTTTGACACTTCAGTCTGTGCCAAGACCATGCAGGGCGGTGGGAACCCCAAAGATGAATCTGACATGCTCAGACTTGTACATGAGCTCATAGTCTACTGGGGGACAGGTGGTTATTATGCAATATGGATCAACGTCCTGCCCGCGGTGGCAAGGAGAAAAGGTGCCCGCAACCCAGCAGGGCTTCTCGGAGGAGAGCTAGCTTGTGGCGAGCCTGTAGAACCTGTTGACCCGAGAGCACTCGTCATGCTGCTTTTTGTAACTCAGTCTGTGTGTTGTCTTCCTTAGGTTTGCTGAGCCTCCAGGTGCTAAGCGGTAAGTAGTGACTGTGCTGTTTGGGTCCCACTATTTGTTCTCACTCCTGTGCACAGAAACACAGAGCTCTTTGCTTTTTTAATTAGTGTTGGAAGAGCCTTTAGATATCACCAAACCCTACGCTCTCTCCTCATCGTTACCATCATAAATGGTTTAACATTTTTGTCATTCATCCAACAAACGCTGGTTAATATTAGCTCCTCTGTGCTAAGTCCTGTTCTAGGTGTTGGGGAGATAGCAGGGGACGAAACAGACAGAAATCTGTGCCTGGGTGGACCTTGGAAAGAAAGCAAATAGGGTAGTTCAGTCAGTTAAGTGTCCGACTTCGGCTCAGGTCATGATCTCACGGTTTGTGGGTTCAAGCCCCGCATGGGGCTCTGTGCTGACAGATCGGAGCCCGGAGCCTGCTTCCATTCTGTGTCTCCCTCTCTCTGCCCCTCCCCTGCTCGTGCTCTGCCTCTCAAAAATAGACGTTAAAAAAGAAAAAAAAAAGAAGGGGGTTAAGAGTCTGTTGGTGAGTCTTCGGAAAACACTGGAGAAAGGAAGAGGAAAATAGAGCTGGGACAGGTTGACAGGCGTCTAGAGGGTGATGATGGAAAGTGACATTTCAGCAAAGACCGGAAGGAGGGAGCCAGTCGAGTGCACACGAGTGCTCCAGGCACAGGGAGCAGCATGTGCACAGGCCACAAAGGAGGAGAGTGCCTAGGAACAGCGCAGGGAACAGCGTGAGGGAGGAGAGTGGCTGGGAACCGAGGGACAGCAAGGAGACCAAGGAGGTCACCGCATCCCCCTCCCTCCCCAGGCACTAGAAGCACTATATCCATCCATCTCAAGCTCCCTTACTGATTTCCTCTCCTCCTCCTCCTCCTCCTCCTCCATGTTCATCTTTAGAAGAAACAAATGATTGCAAGGAAGAAGGTAAGTCATGGATCCGCTAAAATCCAACAGCCCCATGGAGAAGACCCCAGGTAACCGCGGGCACAGCTCCAGTACTTGTGAAGGTGTCCTTCTGAAGGGCATCCAAAGCCTTCTGTTCCTTTGTGCCACTCGTGGGTGCCAAGGAGGCCCCACCCACTGAGGTAGGTGTGGGAAACATTCCTGTTCCCCCTGGAAATAACACGTAAGTCCCGAGTGTCAGGGCTGCGTGGCCAAAAAACCAAGAGAGGGGAAACCAGGCAATAAGAGCGAGCCTCCAGGGGACCCAGAGTTTGGCCATAAGCACTTTAAAAAAGCTTATGATTATTAAGTTCACAAAAATAGATGAGTCATTTCACCAGAGAGTTATAATTTGTTTTTTAAAAAAAAGTCAAATGGCCATTCTAGAATTGAAAATATGTAACTGAAATGAAGAGTTCAGGGGTTGGGCTTAGCAGAAAGCACGATTAGTGAGCTAGAAAATGGGTCAAGAGAAATTATTCTAAGTGCAGAACAATGCACTTAGAATAGAATAGGAAAGTACAGAAAAGGGGCATCTAGGTGGCTCGGTAGGTTAAGCGTCTGACTCTTGATTTGGGCTCAGGTCATGATCTCACGGTTCCTGAGTTCGAGCCCCATGCAGGGCCCTGTGCTGACATTGTGGAGCCTGCTTGGGATTCTCCGTCTCCCTCTCTCTCTGCCCCTGCTCTGCTCTCTCTCTCTCTCTCTCTCTCTCTCTCGTTCTCTCTCAAAATAAATAAACAGTTTTAAAAAAATTAAAGAAAATAGAAAAAAGCATAAAATAAGAGACTTATGAGAACTGGTGAAAATTTGTAACACATGTGAAATGAGAATTTAAGAAGGAAAAGCAAGAGAAAATGAAGCTGAAGTGATAGCTCAAGAGTTAATGGCTAAGAATTTTGTGTCCTGATAAAAAAAATAACCATCAAGCCACAGATTTTAAAAGCTCTGAGAATGCCAAAGGGAATGAATATAAAGAAAACCACTTCTAGGAACACTGCCACAAAATAGTTTAAAACCACACAGGGAACATTTTTTTTTTTTTTGATGTTTATTTAGTCTTGAGAGCGAGAGAGAGAGAGAGAGAGACAGAGCATGAGCAGGGGATGGGCAGAGAGGGAGGGAGACACAGAATCCGAAGCATGGGCAGAGAGGGAGGGAGACACAGAATCCGAAGCAGGCTCCAGGCTCTGAGCTGTCAGCACAGAGCCCGATGTGGGGCTCGAACCCACAAACTGCGAGATCATGACCTGAGCTGAAGTTGGACATTTAACTGACCGAGCCACTCAGGTACCCCTGGAATCCCCACCCTATTAATATAAAGAGGGAAAAAAATCATATTATCATCTTAACAGATACAGAAAAAAAAAAAAAAGATAAAATCCAACAGTCATTCCTGATTACAAAATAAAATCCCAGCACACCAGGATGGAGAGAACATCTCCATATGACAAAGAGAAGCCCCCCGCAAACTCACAGGGAACAACCTGTTCGATGCGGACATCATGACAGATTTCCCAGCCCCCAGCTCGTGAATGGACGGCTTTCCGGGTCACCACTTCTATTGCCCATCGTACTGGGTGTTCCATCCTGTGCACGTCCTATCCAGGCAAGAGAAAGGACCTGAAAGTCAGAAAGGAAACTCATTTTACATAGATCTTACTTTGTACCTACAGGGTCCTAAAATGCTTATTGCAAAAATTTGGGGCTTTCTGCATGTAATACTTGAACAAGATGTTTCGGATGACAAGGGCAGGGAAGGACGTTAGGGAGGTGAAAATCACATTAGGTCTGAAGCGGGGAGGCCGCATGCTCATATCTGGGTGTTAGAAAGACCCTCCTGGCACCCTCATGGAGGCTGGAGGAGGCTTGAGGGACAGAAAGGTGAGCAGGAGGCTGGTGAGGAATCGGGGAGGACAGCACGTGTAGCTGGCTGCTTGTCGGGTGGACAGGAGGGATGGGAACCGGCAGCAGGAGACCAAAATTTCAGTTCAGGGCGTCAGGTGGAGATGTGGTGCGGAGAGGTCAGGAGGGGACTTGTGCTGGGAACAGAGATTTCGGAAGGGCAGGGATTTCTGGACGGGGACGGGCATATCCTCAGCGTGCATCCTTCCCACCGGCTTCTCCCAGGGAAGATTTCCCTAGCCACTGCCACCTCCACCAAGAAACCACCCACGAAACGGACCAGATGGAACTTGTTGAAATGCACTTACATGATGGTCACCTTCCTGTTTGTGTCCTACAGCAAAGGAGACTGGGTAAGAAGGAGCCTGTTACCTTTGAGGGGGGAGGAGGAAGGGGGCAGGGAGGAGGGAGGAGGGAGGAGGGAGGAGGGAGAGAAAGGGAGGAGGGAGGTGGGGCAGGAAAGAGGGAGGAGGGGGACCAGGGAGGAGGGAGGGACAAAGAGGAGGGGGGAGGAAGGGGGCAGGAAGGAGGGGGACCAGGGAGAAGGGAGGGGGTAGGGAGGAGGGAAAAGGGAGGAAGGATGCCAGAGACAGAGATGGAAGGCACAGAGAAGGGAGGGAGTGAAGGAGGTGCCAAGCAAGGGAAGGGGTAGGAAGGAAGATCCCCCCACTCTGTAAATCGAATCACCCCTCCCTCACTGTCTCTCTCCACCCCCCCACCACCAGGCTTGGCTAGGAGACACTCCCTTCTGCGCTAACACGGCTAAGAGACTCCTCTGAAATACTACCATTCATTCATTCTCTGACTCTCTCTCTCTCTCTCTCTCTGTCTCTCTCTCTCTCCATGTAAATAAGGTAGGTTCTTAAGGACCAAGTCATTTACCAAGCAGTAAGTAGAGGTCTGGGGGTAGAGGTTAGGGGGGCGGAGGCATGGGAATATTACCTGCAAGAAATGGCCAGTAATCATTCATTTCATCCGCAAACTCAAATATTTACACATGCAGCAGGTCCCTTGCTGGATGCCGGGACTACAAGACCCCACAAGGTCCCTGGACCCCACAAGCTCACAGGACAGGGGCAGGACAGAAACAAAACGAACAGTGAGCTCCAGGAAAGGGAGCGAATCAGGGGATCTGTCAGAGCACGCAAAGCGGTGGGCTGCTTTACTGGAAAAGGCGAGCTGAGCTGGCGGAAGCAGCCTGCCTTGAGAGCTTCAGGGACAGCCGTCCTGAGCAAAGGGAACATGCGAGGCAAAGACCCCGAGGCTGAACTGCACTGTGTGCCTCTGAGGGACCAAAGGAAAGTCTGCATGAGTTGGGAGAGCCAGAGGGCGTCCAGGTCACAAAGGGGCCCCATAGACCATGGCGAGAAGGAAGTTTTATTCTAAGTTGGGTGGAGAGCCATCCACAAGATCTGACATCAAGTAGGAAAGGGTCAGTCTGGGTGCTGAATGAGGACAGGGCAAGAGCGGAAGCAGAGAGATGAGAGAATGAGGTCCGAGTGGCCGAGTGGCCGAGTGGCCTGGCAGAATACCTGGTGATGAGGTAGTGGAGATGAGGAAGACCACCTGGTGGTTCTATAAGAAGTGCTAATGGGGGGCGCCTGGGTGGCTCAGTCCTTTGAGCGTCAGTATTCAGCTCAGGTCATGACTTCATGCCTCATGGCTCTTGAGCTCGAGCCCCTGAGCCCCGCGTAGGGCTCTGTGCTGACAGCTCAGCTCAGAGCCTGGAGCCTGCTTCGGATTCTGTGTCTCCCTCTCTCTCTCTCTCTCTCTCTCTGCCCCTCCCCTGCTCACGCTCTGTCTCTCTCCGAAACATAAAATAAAAATACTAACGGGTTGCATGTGAGGGACGAGGAAAATGGCACCAACGAGATGAGCCTCAGGCTTGGACTTGGGCCCTTGGTCAGACCGGTGGTTCTCCAGTGGGGTAACCTTGCCCCCCAGAGGGCACAGCAGCATCTGGGGGTACTGTTGGCTGTCATGACTGGGGACGGGGTGCTACTGGCCTTTAGTGGGAGGAGGCCAGGGATCCTGCTCAACATCCTGCATTGCATAGGCCAGCTACCCCCAAATAAACAGTGATCCAGCTCAAAATGTCAGTAGCGATCAGGCTGAGAAGCCCCAGGGGAGAGGACGGTGTTACTGACGAGGATGGGAAGAGCTGGCCGGAAGATGGGACAGAAGGTGGGAGGCGAGGGCGACTGACCAGCAGGCCCTCAGGGCGTCACAACAACAGGCAAGGGGAGAAAGCCAGGGGAGGAACTTGACCTACCTCGCCCCTCCTCTTTCTCTCTCGGTTTCCGGTTCACTTCCTCGTCAACCACCCAAGTGTTACGGTCACTCCTGCAGCACGGAAGTGGACATCAGGTACGTGACGGCCAGAAGAGCATTTTCTCCTCCCAGCCCCTGGTAACCCCCACTCAACTCTCTGTGTCCGCGTGGCTTGGCGGGTCCTGGACGGAGAGCGTCATAGACGCCGAACCACACACCACGTGGCCCGGGTCACGCTTTGCGCTTTCCAGGTTCAGCCAGGAGGTGGCAGGGGTCACGTGTCCGTTCTTCCGGGGGCGAGCAGTCTGGGTACACCCCATCGGCCGGCGGGACCACACTTCATATACGTCCCCTAGAAGGGCATTTGAGGTGTCTTCCGCCTTTTGACAGTTGTGAATAGTGCTGCTGTGGACATCCGTGTCCAGGCCTCTGTCTGAACACTTGTTTTCGGTTCTTCCGGGTACACACTTGGCCGCGGGGTTGCTGCTGTTGAACTCGATTGAGGAGCTCAGCAAGCTTTTGTTGAGCGACGATTCTATGGTGGATCCTTGAGTAGCTAAAACGGCTAAATGGTGAATTTTATGCCATGTGGATTTTACCTGTTTTAAAAACCTATAAAAAGTGGGGGAGGCTGTAGTTTGAGGACCCCCGCACTGCGCTGTGAGACCCTCTGGGAGCAAGTCCTCCGGACGGATGTACCCCGGGGACCCCAGCACGCACAGCAGACCCTGTATACTCGCTCCCTGCCCCAACCTGGCGAGGCTCCAGTGTGCCAGGCTGGGGGTACCGGAGCCGGGGGCGCGGTGCTGCAGGGGGCACGGAGGGGCCGGGGCGCAGAGCGGCCGGGGTCACGGAGAAGCGGGGTCACGGAGGGGCGGGGTCACGGAGGGGCGGGGTCTCAGAGGGGCGGGCGTCCCGAGGGGCCGGGGTCATCAAGGGGCGGAGTCACAGAGGGGAGGGCGCACAGAGCCTCCGGGATCACGGAGGGGCGGGGTCACGCAGAGGCGGGGTCACGCAGAGGCGGGGTCACGGAGGAGCCAGCACCCCGAGGGGCCGGGGTCACGGAGGGCCGGGGTCACCGAGCTGCCGGGGCACAGACGGGCTGCGGCAGGGGAGGCCCTCGAGGTCACGGAGAGCGCCCTCTGGAGGGTGACTGGCAATTAGGTGAGTGTCCTGGAAGGCCGGACGGTGACAGACGGAACTGGAGGGGCGGCCTGCTCCCTCCGCGTGGTCGCAGGAACCCTTCGGAGGGGGAGGCACCTGCTTGGAGTGACCAGGTGGAGCCCCCCCAGCTCAGACCCCGGGACGCGCGTTCCAGTCGGTGGAACCACCGAGCGGCGGCGCAGAGCGAGGCACATCTACCTTTCTCCCCGCCCTCTTCCCTCCCCCAGGAACGACCCCTGCTGCTCTTTCTAGCGACCCTGCTCCGTCCCCTCTGGGCGGTCGCCAGTCCTTCATCTGCCCGCTAGTCTCTCCTCCAAGAACCCTGTCTGCCCGGGACCGCCAGTTTGGAGAGTGACGGACTGGGTCCTCTGAGGGGTGACACCTGTCTCTGCAGGAAGGTGTCCCTGAGGGTCCTGAGGAGGTGGACCCAGGGCGAGCGAGGGCCCTTAGGGGGCTTTCCACACCGCTGTCCGTGGCCTCTTCCCACCCCCCCACCCCCACTGTTTCTCTGATTAAATGTACACTAATTGAGACCGTGAGGGCTCAGTTCTTCCATTCACGCGACACTGAGAATTAATACCTTGGGGGGGGGGGGGAAGAAGGGGGCCAAGAATGATGTATACCCCTTAATTCTGGCAATCACCCCATGAAGAATTCTGTTATGCTGTCCGTGTTACAGGTGAAGAAACTATAGCCCAGAGGGATCGATAACTTGTCCAAGGTCACACAGATGACAGGTTTGACTCATTCCAAAGTCTTTTTTTTTTTTTTTTTTTTTTTTTTTGGTATAAAGATTTAGGTCTCCCAAATGAAGAAATAGGCATCTGAAGATGTAGTGATCTGGAGACTAGGCTATGTCCCAACTGTCCCACCTGCGTGGACTTTTGCCCATGTTTGAGGATGTCCATCGTCCTGGTTGAGAGCTTGGGCTCTAAGGAGGAGACGGGTTTCTTGAGTGCAGATCCTGGTGCCACCCCTTACTGGATTGTGACCTTGGGGAAGTTATTGTCTCTCTGTACCTCATTTTGTCATCTGCAAAATGGGGGTACTGACAGAGTAGAAGCCCTCTTATTATCATGATCAGAACCGGTCATTTGTTCATCACAAAGTTCATTAAAATGGCTAATTAAAACTGCTTTAAGGGGCGCCAGGGTGGCTCAGTTGGTTAAGCGTCTGACTCTTGATTTCAGCTCAGGTCAGGATCTCACCGTTCATAGCATCAAGCCCCAAATTGGGCTCCACGCTGATAGCGGGGAGGCTGCTTGGAATTCTCTCTCTCTGCCCCTTCCCCACTCATGCTATCTCTCTCAAAATAAATGAATAAACATGGGGCGCCTGGGTGGCGCAGTCGGTTAAGCGTCCGACTTCAGCCAGGTCACGATCTCGCGGTCCGTGAGTTCGAGCCCTGCATCAGGCTCTGGGCTGATGGCTCAGAGCCTGGAGCCTGTTTCCGATTCTGTGTCTCCCTCTCTCTCTGCTCCTCCCCCG